CGTTATTTTTTGTTATTATTTCTTACACATAAAATTATTTAAAATATTGACTAAATACATGTTATGTTAACAAACTTACTTTTTTAAGTAAAACCTGTATTCTTTTAAGTTTTATTTAATGGTTATTCAATTAGCTGTAGTACGATCAAGCAGTAGCTTCCACTGTGAATAGTCTGGCCCATCCCGAGAATTACGAGTGTATGGTCTTAAATAAGATCGATTATGGAATTATTTATTATATTTCGTCTGGTATGTTCTTCTGGTATGGATTTTTTAAAGCTACATTTATTAGTATTGAATACCAAGATCTATTTCGCTTCAATACACCATGATAGTTCTATTTCTTCTTCCTTCTCAGTGGCTTCATCTATCCGAATAAATCTTGATTGGCACCGAGCGTTTCGAATGATAATGAAACACCCAACCATTTTATTCCGCAAGAACGCAAAAAATCATTTTATACCGCACTAGACGCACCGATACAGATAGGTCATTTTTATGTGAGAAGGTGGCAAGTAAGCTGGTGGTTCACCTGATGTTAAGCGATAACAGCTTTCCATGGACACTTGCAACACCCTTATATATTGCAGATGCGTTGTTACCTTATAATAAAGTGGGCCCATTCGTGCAACAGCGAAGTATTATTATTATTGAAATAATATACAGATACGAATAAATACGGCACGTGTTTATACATAGCTATGAATTTTATCATTAACCTAAGATAAATTAATAAACTCCAAACCAAAGGCCATACTAAACACCGTCGAATATAAATTTAATTTATTTTTAATAGGAGTAAAAGTTAAATAAATAAATAAGAACGAATTTGATCATAAACAAGTCGAACGAATTTGATCATAAACAAGAACGAATTTGATCATAAACAAAGCTTTGATCGTATCTCATCCAATATTAGTATGTTAATAAAAATAAAAGCTCAAGATCTCTGATACGCAAAGGATCTTTAATAAACGCAAAAACGTTTATGAACGTTACAAATTATTCCCAGAACGTCTTAAATTTAAAAACCTGTCAAGTTGTCAGTTGGGCTCGACATGAATATCTTCTCTCATAAGCCTCCGCTGCATTCGTCTGACTGACTCTAATCACATTAATAAAATTCCACATCGCTTTCATGAAATCGCGTATTCATCAACGCGAACATGTAAAGTAGGGAACGAGTTAAGACCGGATTTTAATTTTGGCAATATTCGATTTTAGTAAGATTTGCTTCTCTACTAACGAGAGATGTCCACTTTTATATTATTGCAGATGTCCATGGGCGGTGATGATCACTTACCATCAGGTGAGCCTCCTGATCGTTTGCTGATTTTTTCGCAAAAAAAAAAATGTTATACACATAATATAGTACTGATGACATTATTTTATGAATTTTATGAATTTAATGAAATTTAAATTAAAAATTTAAAAAAAAAATGAAAAAAAAAAAAAAAAAATATATAAAAAATTTAAATTTAAAATTATGAATGAATTTTATGAATCTTCATGTATTTTTATTGTTATTTTACTTAATCTTTAACTGAAGCTTTTTCTTTCAGCGTCCGTAGGCTATTAAAGCGTCATTGAACGCTGTTTAATTGTTATATGAGTCACTGACCAGCTGTTCTTTATCATCTATTGCTTTAGTATTAGTAATAACCAATAAACGATAATATTTAAAAAAAATGTATAAATGTGTATCAATAGCAAAAGAGGATATATTGTAGTTAAATTATTCAACATAAATAAAAATTCTGTTGATTAAGGAACGTGAGTACTTTTGTAAAAATATTAATCTTTGTTTAATCAATAATAAGTGCATAAAAAATTCAACATTGCATCGAAATACCAAAATTATCGTATGCCAGGTAAACTGGAATGTTCAAACTGTCACTATTCTCCTCCCGAGCCCCACTAAAACGTACAAAAGTCCCTGTGCAAAATAACAAAACTGGGTTACATTTGCGGTACTTCCGGTTAATTCATGTACGGAGCTCAAACGTCGTGGAACTAACTTGTTTCATACGCTTAAACGGAAACGTATCTCTATTACGTTAGCGAAACAAAAGTAAGAAAATACATTCCTTGCTTTTTTGTCATAACAAGTTCATGTCATAAATCAATAACGCACTGTAATGCGTTAGAATACAATACGGGAAGTTAGTGATCTTTCTAGTAGAGCTTGCTACATTACATGTTGGCGCTGGCAACACTGTATACCGGATATGACTTTATATCTACTTGAGCCAAGGGACACATGGTCGCATGTAGCAGGGGTCACTTGGGTTTTGGCTGCGTTCCCGGACGGTCATAATATATAGATATAACCAGTATTGCTGCTTGTCGTTATAATAGTTGTTAATATTCAAGTTCAGTAATAGTTAAAATATTAGGTTCAAGGTAAAAACGTTAGAACTCTTATATACACAAGAGTTATTTATGATACGAAACGCTTTTACCCAAAGAATCTTCTTTGGGTAAAAGCGTTTCGTATCAGTATCTACTGACTGACTCCAATAACACTATTGTTCGTTCTTGCCTAAAGTGCAAAGGGAAGTAAATGAACCACGTACACTCATTCGCAGACATATATGTCTGCATTGTAGTCATGCTTTAGAAGTAATGAATTCATAGTAATGTTTGTCCAAAATTGCACCGATCACGCTACTGAGCGCGGCTCTAGCTCCCCTCAATCAAGCTAGGACATTCGTAGGCCCCCTCCGACTGGGAGGTGGTGGAGGGGTTTAGCAGCAGTGGCTTGGTCTCCCACGGCGAAGCCAAGAAGAATCCACACTGGGATGGCCTGCGTTGTAAGTCCGGCCCATGGGGGCTACTCCGAGTTTTCTTTCCTTCTCGTTCAAATACATATCTAATGAAAACCCAAGCAACTTATAACAGTCGAGTAACGCAATGGGTAGCCGATTATTTCAAATAAAAAATCCCTTATTTATAGAAAACCTTTTAAGAAGCTACCGATTCTATTTACCCTAATCTCAAACGAAGTGCTATGCCGTGTTACAAGTTAAATATGAAAGCTTGATTTATGCCGTAGACCAAAACTACTTTCCTATTTGCAAAGCGGGAACGGGAACCCTTTCTACCTATTGATCTTATTTCAACAAACATATATTTCTCTATAGCGCACTGTTGTATTCAACATTGAGTAAATACGTATTGAGGCACCTTTACTCCATTGCTCCCCGTACTTTGATGTTTTGAATATGCTTGGTATAAATATGTAACAATGAATGATTGTAAGTAAAAAGCGCTCTGTCTGTGGGTTCCCTATCTCCGATTAATCGCTTTCATACATATTTATAAGATATGTATCTTTCCATATCTGTACCCTTACAGAATATTTAATTTCTATAATAGAATGATGAATTCAAATCTACTTGCACATTATCCATTTCAATATTCCGTTATTTCTCAAAGAATTGCAATTTTTTTATGCATAAAAAGTTATAGTTTTGCTACGTTTCCTTATTAAGTGTACAATAAACTAAATAACTGCGCATGCCAAAATAAATTATTAGGTACTTAGAGTATTTGGCTTTGTATTAAACTCATATAGTGGGCCTTGCTTTAAGCTTTTTAATGTGCAATAACTATCTATTTTATTTTTAAATTAAACATTTTAAACAAAAAAAAAAACTGTTTTAAATTATAAATTCTAACTTAAACTTTTAATGCATAGTTTTATTAGTTTATCTTCAATAGGTAAGAGTGTAAAAGAATTTAGAAAAAAGGAATAACTTTTTTTAAGAGGCAACTTTAATGAACAAATACAAATTGAAATTCCTAATTTGATTCCTTCCCAGTGCTTCTGTCTGTTCATGTTAATTAAATCCGAAAAATTCCATACGTCGAAGAAATTCTTGCTCTTTAATACGTCTATTGTCTAGACAAGACTATTAAACATTTTATGGTCGTAATTATAGCTATTATACGTTTTTAACGCGTATGTGGTTCTTTAGTATGATAACTTAAATTGATTAAACCAAAAATACAAAAACAGTTTTAAGCGTTTATAAGGAGAAAAAATTATCCAGGCAACGTATTTAGTGTTAGTAATAACCTAAGCTCAATGAAACTACTTCTTCTCTTTTCCATAAATAATACTTTTATTTATATGTATTGGTTTAAGCATTGGTTTATTTTTTGCCAGGAATGTTAGTAAATTTTATTTTATTTTAATAAATTAAATGCTTATTAAATCATTTTATTTTGGGATTTATTTAACGTTTTTAACTTGAAAGCTGAGCTTTGTGACAAAAGACAAGTAAATTATAGAAAAACGTTATTAAATCTTTTTATAATTTGGTTGATTCACAGGAAGTTATAAAAATGTTTAAATCACTTGAATTTTCGGTTTATAAATTGAGTGAAGTATAAGTGATCTACAAGCCCTAAATCTGTTATACGTTGGTAAAAGCAACACTATATAAAGATTATAATCTATATAAGTAGAACATTTTAGTCGGGCGCCATAATTTATGACGATGTAAAAACTTACAATATGCTTAATTTACAACTTAACCTAATACATACCTGAGTTGGCAGCCCGCTGTCTCAGTTGGGTTTCTTTTTAACGCGACGTATTTTATTTATTTTAGAATAAGATATAAATGTCTACGTAAGTAATAGTCAACAGGTAACACAGATACGAGTATTCAACAACAGTTTAAACATTTCAAAAGTACAACAAGTTTACCGCGGGCGCGTAATAGGATTCGCAGTATCACGATACCGCAATGATGGTCGTCCGTAACAACAACACTAAGAGGAAGACTGAGTCAAGCGTAATTAGGATACTCGAAATTAACAAGGCAAAGTGGAAGCGAAGAGAAGGCATCACAGGAATGATCCAATTTAACGACACTCCGAAGGCAGTTAAGAATAGAACTGAAATACAGGATGGACGAGTAAAATTTGAGCCAGAGGGTAGCGATCGCGAGCAGATGGGAACGCGCGCGACGTGACTTGAGCGAGTCCAGATGTGGTATGAAAAGTCTGGCGGATTCAACAAGTGGTTTGCTAGGGCGGGCGTCGCGGACCGTAGCTCGGAGGTCCTCGCGGCGGGAACGCTCGCCCGCCAATGTCCCGAGCTAACGTTCCCGCCTCACCAACTGCGCCTGTGTGCGCGCTGGGCCTCGCTCTACAGCCTCCATTGTTACACGCACGCCTGTGTGCGCGTCCCCGGCGTACGCACGTATCTCCGCAAGGCTGTGTGCTACGGCTGCGTTGGTGTGCGGGCGTGACGCGCCTACGGGTCTAGCGCACAGGTGAGCCCGGGCCGCCGGCCCCCAGCTAGCTCCCATCCTATCTATACGCTTTTCACAATGAAATGGCTGGTTGAGCATAAACTACGTGCGTGCTACATTCGTAGATGCATGAATTTGCTTGCCTGAACTAGCGCTACGCTTTTTTAAAAGTAGCTTTCAAATTTCGAATTTCGAATTATAAAACCACCAATATAAATATTGTAATATTTTACGTAATTCTAGACTATCGTGATTATAATTCATATATGTTAGTAGAGTTGTATCGAATACATTCGGCGTTTAACCTTACCCGGCATTATTATATATGTTATATAACTGAATTAATTTGTTAATAGCTGCGAGATCATACCACTGCTACAAAGGCAGGAGGAGTAATTGAAAATGGCCATTATGTTTATTAAATGCTGTTTTCACACGGATGAAAAAAACTTCGTCTGACCCGTGAAATCTGCACAAAGGTTTGTTTGAAATGTTTTATTAACAAACGACTATGTACTTGATACTTTGTTAATTAACATGACTTGTTTTATGAAACGTATATTTTAAAATGTAAGGAAAAGTCATAAGAAATTTTATACAATAAAAAACTCCAGCGAATTTTTTTTAAAATTTTTTTAAAAACATTGCCCTCACTTTAGGATAACATTATCCTGTGTTGTAAGGACGTTTAACAAACATAAATTACACGAGGACAAACACCCAGATGCGAAACAACTATCTGTGGGTCGAACAAATAGTTGTCCCGTGTGGGAATCGAACCCACGACCCCCGACGCCGAAGCCAATAACTTGGCAACTGCGCCACGGAGTCATCAAGGTAATTTACAATACATGCTTGAAAATAAATTATTTGGATAGACCTTTTTTCATATATCCAATTATAGAATATTTCTAAAAATAAACTATTTCACAAACAGGAGTTCTTATAGCACCTTCAATTCTTAGCAACCGAAGTAAGTATTGGGAGTTTTTATTGCTACGTAAGCTCTTGCTACGGTGCTACGAAACAAGAAAATATCAGTTTTTACATCTGCGTAATACCTTATCATATACGCGATTACTACATTATTACATTAATCTATTTTCTTGAAATCTCACCTTTTTCTTTTGTTATTTTTAATTTTAAATAAAAGAAATGAGTCGTTTCTATTATGTAGGTTTGCTAAAGACTGTAGGCTGAGCGGAAAACCAATTTTATAGTATTTAATAACAAAACACTTCTATTTTGATCGATTCCTGGCAATGACTACTCGAGATTTAAATTAAATAGTCAAATTTTATTAACTAAAAGCAACTTTTGAGTCAAACTATCCCCAAAACAGTTAAATCGGATCCAATTAAATGTTGCTTTGTGAAGAAGTAACAAATACTACACCGACCACAGATAATAATTGCAATCAGCAATTGAGTGATATTTTATTACTGGTATATATTTTTCGTATAAGACTATTATTACACTTATGTAATGTATACTAAATTATTAATTAATTTAATAGCGCTTATTTGGTCTCTGAATGTGGCCGTTTCATACCATCGGCGTTTTAATAATTTTTAAGTTTGTTGTACTCATATACTCGTAGTCATGCCAGTAAAATTAACTTAGTAGTAGCAAGCTAAGACGTCAATAAATTCTTACAATTTGAATAAAAGTAGATATTTTATAATTCTTAAAAAATATACACGTTTTGGAAAAGAACCATATTATGGTAGAATTCTAACAACAAAAAAACAACAACTACTTCCATTTAAGTAATGGTACCAACAAAATAACTTTTATAACAACCCAAGAATATTTTGAATACTACTAAATCATATTATATAAGTTACAATCAATATTAAATCATACCAACATTCACTTAAGAAATGTGCTGATATATCACACATATAAAGTAATTAAATTGGAATAAACTGTTCTTTTAATAGAAAAACATGAAATAAAAATATTTCTGTGCAGTTAACCGTCCTAAGATGTAAAGCTTACTTCCAAGAACACACTTTCATCATGGTTACTTAACATTTTTTTCAATCATAATAACTAAATCAACTATGTTCATTTTCTATAATGTTGCATCAATATTTTATAGTCTTTAAACGGCAGTGAAGAGGCTTCTTCTCTTTGCTCTGGAGAACGTAATCTTCTTAGCACTCAACAGGTTCACTGCTATTATAAATATCTCTTATAATAAGTACTGAAAGGTTGTTTTATTGGTAATGTTTTTCAATTTGATTAAATGTGATACAATTATAATGAAAAGTAAATGTATTACGGGTTATTAAGCAAACCTAGTCCACGTGGAATGGTGTCAAGAACGTCAGCTAAATTTCCTCTGAATAGTCCTAGAATTATGATTCAAGATTGGGCGAGAAAAGTTACACCCTTATTGTCACCAGCCGCAACCATAACTTATGGCTGTAAATCTTTCAGAAATATTAATGTGCGGGGGCCCCACGGGCCTAAGGATTCAACAGCAAATGTCACGAATAATATGAACAAAGCGAATCATACTTTGTTCATATTATTCGTGACATTGCGTCATATACTAATTATTTCAGCTGTCTCTGAAGCCACCTAGACTTTGACTGAATTACCCCATAGATGAGATACCATTATTGTGTCTACACAAGTCCCGTCCCAAGCCACAACTTTGCCTCCCTCCCAAGGGTCCAAAGTGAAGCCACCGAGGCTCTTAGCATCGTAATGGAAATTGTCATAAGGCTTCTAAAACTGTGGGGACATTGAGAGAAAGATGAGCCCTACAGATTTCATCGTTTCGTGGCGAGAAAAATAGCCATCACATTTTTGACATGAACGTCTGTGGGAATCAAAGAACAATGCCCACTTCCCATACATTTAAAAACCTGATAATGAAAGTGTATGTATAGTTACAAGGTATAACAGAAAGACTACCTTTAAGTTAGTAAATTAATATCATATAGTCATTTTTACGATTGCTGGTCTACGAAGTCCAAAAATTATTAAAAAATGTTACTTTTTAGGTTAGGATTTGCAGTTACCTAATATAACTATTTACGCTCAAGTTTATTCTAAAATAATAATATTAGCCCATCTAAGGTCTAAAACGTCTTTTTTACTTGTGAATTCCTAGAAACCGATTGCCCTTACGTCACTGCTTAGACTCGATTATTGTCACTATAAATTGAGTGAAGAGCATTATCTGCTGTTTCAACAGCTCACATAAGTACTTACTAAAAAACGTAAGTTAAAAGTGATCGTTTATCTGCCCTACACATTTCTTTGGCCTGCACTACAATACATAATAATCGATAATTATAATACCTGATGAATAAAATGGGGGAAAAAATAAAACACTATGTTACAGCGGAATGCTTTATCATCATCTTCACTTAAATGTCTTATAACTATGTTATCTAGAAATTCTGCTATAACAGAGATATTTTCTTGATAGTTCATCCGAAGTACCACACTAGTCATAACATGAGTGCAACATCCTATGGTTCGCCAACCAACTTAACAATTACAACAGTATTCGACTATACTAGCTCTGCCAGACACATTATTTTCTATTAAAATGTAGACATAATATTGTTTTCTTTAAATGTGCCAGCACTTAATTTTTCCTCTTATTAGTGTTATGTCACCACTTCCTCTCAGATTATTCCTAGAAAACTCCTGTGTCCCTACATATTTCTATTCTATATGATCCATGAAAGTGAATATGTTCAGCACAATAGGATTTGGCTTGCCTTATTTGGTACCTAATGCAAATAGTATAAGTTCACTAGTAACTTTGTTACGGTGGTAAGGCCACGCAGCAGTCTCGGCTGTTGCACGAATGGGCAGGCTCGTCCGGGTAAGTACCACGACCTCACGGAAGACCAGCGTAAAGTGGAAGTATAATGCTTTAGCATTTCGTCTGGTGAATGAGGTGGCCGGAGCCCAATTTTCTAAAGGTTGTCAACGCATCTGCAACCCTCTGGTGTATGAGATGTCCATGGGCGGCGGTATTCACTTAACATCAGGTAAACCGTCTGCTAGTTTGCCCATTTTCTCCATTAAAAAAAACCCATAAACTAAACACTATAGACAGGGCCACGCGTAAGACATGGTGACATTTTACAATAATAAAATGCCGTAGAAAAAACAAATAATAAACTTATTGCGGGGCCAGAAAGACGGAAGCTCCTCGATATATGTTCACACACTCATCACACTCTGTAATTAACGAAAAACAAAACCGACTTCAAATATCTGTATTCATATTATAATCGATGTTACGATTTCAGTCCTTAGACTATTAAAGCTTCATAACAACCGACGGGTTTGAGGACCTCCTCAGTGGGTAGAGCCGCGCATGTACTCATGCGTGCGTTAATTATGGAATATCGCCTACGGGCCATCGAGGTTCGGTGCGGATCGTGACCCCGATGGCCATTGAATGTGCTTGGTAAAACGTGTGAATGTGTGCTGTCAGAACTTTCACAGTGGAAATAGTAAAACTTTCGACCGGTGGTTTGTTACGCGTGTAAAATATCATTGGACTAGGTCCGGTTGATATAATACTGGCCATTCGCCATAAATGTAAACATTGTTTTTAAAATTATTCTTTTGGATGTTCCTTATTACTGACACAATTGTTCTTACGTATGTATATATTTTCTGCTTAATAAAACCTAATTACTAGGTTTTGTATTATTTATCAATTTATTAAGCAGAAAGAATCAACAATTCAATAAAATAATTCTCAAGAAGTATGGAGAGATTTTTAAGACCAGAGAAATTTGAAACCGATTCTTCATCTGCTACCGCGGCACAAGAATGGAGACATTGGTATATAACTTTTGAAAATTTTTTGGCTATAAATGATGTTAAAGATGAAAAAGCAAGATTGCAACTTCTGATTAATCATCTATCATCAAAAGTTTATGAATATATATGTCATTGTGTTAGCTACAAAGATGCGATCAATAATTTAGAGCTTGCATTCGTCAAACCAAAAAATATAATTTTTGCAAGACACAAGCTTATCACCTCAAAACAAGAAAACGGGGAAACGATTCAACAGTTTATACATAAATTAAAACTACAAAGTCTAGAATGTGAATTTACATCAGTGTCTGCTGAAAAATATAAAGAAGAGTATATAAGAGACGCCTTCATTTCTGGTATTTCATGTAATAATATCAGACAGAGATTATTAGAAAATTTATCACTTTCTTTAGATGAAGCATATAACAAAGCAGTATCATTGGAGCTAGCGAAGTCTACTGCTCAAGAATATCAGATCAATCCAATAAATGCTTCGCAATCACAAACTCATGTTAAAAATCATGAGTTTTCGTCGACTTATCAGAAAACTTTATACAATCGAAAGAAAAATGTTTTTTTTTGTGGCGGAAATATACACTTGCGTTCAAATTGCCCTGCAAGGAATGCGATTTGTCAAATATGTGATAAAAAGGGACATTGGGCCAAAGCATGTCGTAACTCAAAAAAATCTGTAAATGCCGCAATGGAAATAGATGACATGGACGCTGTAGCTTCTGTCATAGCTGCATCACCTGCATGCCTCGGTAAAGCAATTGTAACTATAAAAATAAAGGGGGTAAATGCTCAGGCTTTAATCGATTCAGGAAGTTCTAGAAGCTACATTAATAGTTTATTTTTTGATCGCTAATAAAAGAAGAATGTTCAGAGAAAGTGACAATGGCTACGACTAATTATACATCGAATGTAGAAGGCCTGTGTATTACGTCAATAAGCATAGGAAATCACATTTATAAAAATATAAAATTACTTATTGTAAAACATTTATGTGCGGATATTATTATTGGTCATGATGTATTAACTCAACATTGCAAAGTTCAATTAAATTTTGGTGGTCCAAGAGCAAAACTTGAAATTTGCGGAGTAACCGCAGCTATGATTCCTCCAGTATCAATTTTTCCTAACTTATCGTCGATCTGTAAACCTATAGTCACTAAATCTAGACGTTTTTCTAAAGACGATTTAAAATTCATTGCTAATGAAATTCAGGAATTATTATTAAATGGTATTATTGAAGAAAGCAGATCTCCATGGAGAGCTCAAGTTCTTATAATAGAAAATGATAATCATAAAAAGCGTCTTTGCATTGATTATTCACAAACTATCAACAAATATACTTACTTGGACGCTTACCCATTGCCAAATATAGAGACAATTGTACAAGATATTGCTAAGTACGAATTATTCTCAAAGATTGACTTAAAAAGCGCGTATCACCAAATTCCGATCCTTCATACGGAAAAACCATTAACTGCTTTTGAAGCAGTCGGAAATTTATATCAATTTTGTAGAATCCCCTTTGGAGTTACTAATGGTGTAAGTAGCTTTCAGAGAACTATAGACTGGATAATACGAACGGAAAATCTACAATCTACGTTCGCCTATCTAGATGATGTTACCGTATGTGGTAAGAATAAAGAAGACCATGACTATAATCTTGAGAAGTTTATGTCTGCTGTCAAAAAGTACAATCTTACTATAAATGAGAAAAAATGTACATTTTCAATTAAAAATATTTCTATTCTTGTTATGCCATTAATAATAAAATGATCACTCCAGATTTAGAAAGAATCAAACCTCTCAAAATTTGCCTATTCCAACGGATTCTGAAAGAAGGAGTAGGAATGTTGTCACATTATTCTAAATGGATACGGAGCGAAAAGATTCGAATTTTATTAATAACAATGATTTTCCATTGAACAATGATGCAGTAAACGCTTTCGAAAGTTTAAAACAAGAAATAATTAAGTCATCTGTTCATGCCATTGAGAGCAAAATCCCATTCACTGTCGAAACAGACATCAAATTTCGCAATCGGAGCGACACTTTCACAGGAAGGGAGACCTGTTGCTTTCTTTTCAAGATCACTCACGGAGTGTGAAAGAAAACCCTCTGCAATTGAAAAAGAAGCATATGCCATTGTAGAATCTGTCCGTAAGTGGAGGCATTTTCTAATAGGACGAGAATTTCGTTTAATAACTGATCAAAAATCGCTATCATTCATGTTTAACACCAAGCATAATAGTAAAATTAAAAATGACAAGATTATGAGGTGGCGCCTGGAGCTCTCTTGTTTTAAATATGACATTATATATCGACCTGGGAAAGAAAATGTTGCAGCGGATGCACTATCTCGAATGTGTGCATCTGTTCATACAGAACCTAAACTATTTTCTTTACATGAATCGCTTTGTCATCCTGGAGTCACTCGAATGTTTCATTGGGTGCGATCTAAAAACTTACCATACAGCATTGATAATATACGACAAATGACACGTGGCTGTAAAATCTGTGCAGAAGTAAAACCTAAATTTTGCAACAGCCGTGGAATATTAATAAAAGCTACAAGTGTATTTGAAAGATTAAACATAGATTTTAAAGGACCCCTACTACCCACAAATTCAAAAAATCAGTATCTACGCACTATTATAGACGAATATTCAAGATTTCCGTTCGCATACCCCTGTGAAGACACATCTACATCGAGTATTATTAAGTGTTTGACAAACTTATTTTCTATATTCGGCATACCCTCATACATACATTCTGATAGAGGATCATCATTTATGTCCCATGATTTAAAAATCTTTTTACAAAGTAAAGGTATAGCTACAAGTCAAACAACATCGTATAACCCGCAAGGAAATGGGCAGGTGGAACGATTTAATGGCGCGTTGTGGAAGACAATGCAATTGGCTTTAAAAACAAAAAAATAAGATATAAGCCAATGGGAGAGGGTATTGGATCAGTCATTGCATTCGATTAGATCATTAATTTGTACAGCTACTAATGTAACACCTCATGAAAGAATGTTCAGGCATAATCGAAGATCTGAAAACGGTGCAACATTACTATCGTGGTTGATGGTGCCAGGGCCAGTGTTTATGAAAAAGCATAATCGAGCTTCAAAGTATTCACCTGTAGTCGAGGAGGTAGAGCTATTACAATCAAATCCTGACTTTTCATATGTCCGTTTACCTGATGGAAGGGAAGAGACGGTATCTAACAGACATCTAGCGCCTCTAGATTCGTCGGAGTTTATCGAAAATACTATGGAAATTGAAGAAAATAATAATCAAATAGATCTGCCAAGTGGAAATATACGAGAAGAAGATAATGAACAATGTAGAGAAGTAATGACAATGGAGCGACCGGTTAGAACTAAAAAGCGGCCAGAATATTTAAAAGATTGTTACTTTTACTCGATAGGGTAAATGATATAATACTGGCCATTCGCCATAAATGTAAACATTGTTTTTAACATTATTCTTTTGGATGTTCCTTATTACTGACACAATTGTTCTTACGTATGTATATATTTTCTGCTTAATAAAACCTAATTACTAGGTTTTGTATTATTTATCACCGGTACCCCTTTTTTATGAAACATTTTTTTTTATTTATTATTTAGCTTATAACTGCCATAAAACGTTTAAGATGTGCTTTAAAACCAGAGAATATAAATAAAAGGGGTATTTTCCACAAAATTCAAACTTTTATTTGTGGTAAATTTAATTAAAAAATCTGAAAATATTTGATCCATTAAATTATATCTAGGTTTGTACTTATGTAAAACATCGTCATGTGATTACAAAACTTTACTCGAAAAGAAGTATAAAGATTTATTAAAACTGTACATCATTCACAAAGTTCTACTGGCAACTTCATTAATTTATGCAATAGGCATTAGGCAAGGCAACCCTTTTAGTAGTATGTCATCCAACAGCCACGGACGATAATGTACTCTTCAGTCGACAGTTTTTAGAAGAAATACTATAATAAGTTACGCGTTTTATCCAATGTTATATACAATTTTAGACGGTAACCGAAAACGGTTACAATAATTATAAAATTATGTTATAATTATTATGAATTGTTTTACATTTTAATAAGTGTCGTGAGATTCGCGCATCTTGTTTGCGGCCTGAAGAAATTGTTTCTCGAATACATCCGAGCTCTATAAGATGCCTTTTGTTAACATTAAAAAGCAGTATTTTGTAATCGGGATGTTATTTTTCGTTATATTGTTTTTGTTCAATAGCCGCCCAGCTTTTCAATGCCAATTTACGCCTGAGATCATTCCGTATATTCCTACAATCTATGGGATTACCCCAACGTACGCTAGACTCGCTCAAAAGGCAGATCTCACAAGGTAAGAGTATTTGTCGTGTTGCTAATGCCCTTGATATTTACTTCATACATATGACTATTGATTTGGCAATGGCACAATAAATTTGTTTAACAGCCGTTGATTGATATGACTGTAGTGAAAAAAAATTTAAATTGCAACATATATTATACATTAAAAGTTTTTAAATTTGCCTTATTACTATCGGAATATTATTAGTACAAATAGTGGATTTAGAATTAACTATCATTTGGGATACCTATACACCTAAAGATACCTAAGTACTCAAGGATATCTATATACCCAAGGATACCCATATGTGTATAGTTTCAATTTTAAACATAAAATATATCAATTATTTTAGTTGATAAATGTTAGAATATACCAATTTGAATATGCCAAGGATCTGCTTATTGCTAAGTAAGTGATAATGCAGCCAGCGACAGCATTGTACATGTACTAGAAGCTAAGTTATTTGACATCCAAGATTTTGTAATTTTTTAATTGTATACTACTTATAAAAATACCGATCTAATGTAGTGTCTGAGGTTGGTAATTTGTTCATTTCAAGGATTATCAGAAACATTTTCCAGGATAATCATTTTATTATAGTTGAGAATAAGAATAAGAATGCTTATATGATATTATATTGACTGCTAATATATATGAACATTGCCTTTAAGGTTATCACAAACTTTGATGCTAGTGAAGAATTTTCATTGGATAGTCATTGAGGACTCTGAAACAAAAACCAAATTGGTGGAGAACCTTCTCAAAGAGTCCTTGCTTAAATATACTCACCTTAATGTTAAAACTCACAAATTGAAACATTCTACGGTATGTACATTTCTCTACATTTATAAATTGAATTTTATGATTTAAGATTTCTTGCAAAAGATTTTGAACTCTGTGTCTGTTAATGGAACAGGACAGTATGTTTTTATAGATACAATTAAGGTTATTACAGAGCATTCATTTGTTCTTTTTTTAATTTGTTTTATTTCATTAATATTAAATTTGCATCATAATTATCATTATTATTATCATCAGCTGCAAGACTTCCACTGTCAAACATAGGCCTCCCCGTCAGAACTCCATAACGAACAACAATTTGCCATTTGCATTCATCGGTTGCCCGTGACTCTTACAATGGCGTCGGTCCACCTAGAGGGAGACCTTCCAACGCTATGTCTTCCGGTTCGTGATCGCCACTCGAGAACTTTTACTCCCCAATGGTCATAAGTTCTTCGAGCGATGTGACCTGCCCCCTGCCACTTCAATTTGCAAATCTGGAGAGCTATATCGGTAACTCCGGTTCTTCGGCGAATTTACTTGTTCCGGAATTTTTGCGCAAAGAAACTCCGAGCATAACTCTCTCTATAGCTTGCTGTATGACTCGCATTACTATACTATTCATTAATACAATGTAAATAATTCCCTTCAGACTATATTCAACACAACAAACAACCTAACTACCTAATATTTATAATTTTATTCATCATTAATGATAAACACATGTAATTGATAAAAAATGCATCATATTAATTAGTGAATGAATTTATTAATGAAAAAATATATTATATAAAGTAGAGAAATTATTTAATCAAATATGAAATTATTTTAATTTCATATTTGTATTATAATCATTCAAAAAATATTACAGGCAAGTGGTGTTGAACAAAGAAATGTGGCTTTGAACTGGCTCCGTGAACATTTACTGGAAATTCATGACAAGAGAGGAGTGGTGTATTTTATGGATGATGATAACACTTACTCCTTGAAGGTTTTTGATGAGGTATGTATTTATCCGAGCATACATCATTTGACTTTCCTATTTAAATGTAAATTTGAGAAAAACACAAATATTTGTTATTTAGAAAAAAGAATCAATAGTAAATTTAAAATAGATTTACATAAATATGCAATGAATGAATGAATATTCTTTATTGCACACCAAAATAAAATAAACAACTTAATCTATAAATGATGCGTACAATGGCTTTATTACTAAAAGCAATTATAGTAGCTATTATCATTTATCGTTTATAGAGAATAAATTACAGTTTATAGAGAAATCAAATTTTTGCTATTACCATTTACCTTTTCATCATTTGGTTCAATGTTTTAGTATAAATTACGTTCTTTTTTCTTTAATTACTACAAGCAATGTAAAGGTGAGAGATTAAACAATTTGTTGTTCATAATTATTTAATACATATTGAGGACTTTAATACAGCTTTTATTTAATATAGCTTTTATTTTTACAAAAAAAACATCTTAATCTAATATTAAAAATAAAAAATAAATTATTTCATTTTTTGGTTACAGTTTAGAAGGTAAGTTTAATTATTTATTTAAGTTAAATGATTCATATCATTTTAAATCTTCTTGTTTCTTTAAATATAAAGTAATGTTCAGGAGAACTGAATTTTTATGCTTTGTCTATGAATGCTTACTTGTTTGCCCATACTTCCATTAAAAATAGTAATGAATAACAGGCTCTGTGATTTAGAAACGAAGACTGTAGTAATTTACAGCCTGTTTGTCTGTACATCACTATTGACCTTAATTAAAATGTATCAGCTGGAAGCCAATTGGTCCGTCAGTTTTCATGACTGGCCCACATGCTAAAATGTCTTATGGCAAAAAAAATATACAATGACACCTTTTTAAATTTACAGATGCGGAAGATAAAGAAAGTTGGGGTATGGCCGGTGGGCATTGTTGGAGGAATGAGGGTAGAAATGCCACTGGTGACAGATGGGAAGGTGTCCGGATTTAACGCCGTGTGGAAGCCGTACAGGCCTTTTCCAATCGACATGGCTGGCTTCGCTATAAACGCGACCCTATTTATAGACCATCCCGAAGCGAAGTTCTCTAGGAAAGTGCAGTCCGGTTTTCAGGTGGGTACACTTATGATTGTCCCCAATACTCATGCCGCCTGTACTAAGCTTTAATAGCACTATGAATATGTGCTTTGGTGCAGATAAATTAATATTAAAATTTGATTTAATGTGTGCAGCATGGTCCACAATTTTCACCAATTGATTGTCTTGTACAAGTTTATTGACATTTCTGTATTGAAATAATAATCGTTAATAGTTTTCAATCGACTTTAAAAAAGAATTATTACTTAATTCAATTGGTTTGCTTTAGCTCCAATGTGGTCCCGTAGTAATTTCATTGGTATTGGACCTTAGATTTCGTAGATACGTCATCTATCTATCATCTATCTTCAAATTGAAATTGAAAGTGTATGGTTAATGTATGAAGTCTGTTTTCTTCAATACTCATGTTGATGACGCACAAAACAATGCGTTAACGAGTTAAAAGATTTATACAATCGAAATTACATCAGCCTTTTGTTTCACATAAAATGACCAGATTATTCTCTGCAACAACAATCGCATACGATTACACACTCGTTTATAAATGGTTTCCTTCGCGCATGTCTAATTTAATAAACAGAAATACGTAAATAGAAATACGTAATGAGAGCATTTCCTTCTCAATTAAGAATGAACTCAACTATGAGTATATATAGTAATTTAAATCTTTAGATATTTACATTGTTAAATTAAAGTATTTTACGGATTTTATTGCGTTTTATTAGATTTTTAAATTCCCAGACAGACAGATGTTTCACGACTTGGTGTCAGAGTTAATAGTTAACTTGGGCTACCAACGTCAATAGTTCTATTATTATTTTTATTTCGATCTACGCAAAAACTTTAAGCTTAAGCTTTTTAATTATAAATCTTATTAAATGTGATGAAGTCCGTAACATAGTTTCATTTAACAATGTATAACATTCGCGTAAAAACAAGAAATCACCGAATACATATGTATTCGGCTAATACTCCCAATTTTTTACTTTTTTAATAATTTTACCTAAAATTAATTTATAAATCAATAAATCAAACATGTTGGAGTTTATTGTAACTCACAAGCTCTTAGCCTTATTTAAAAGATAACTTTCATAATTAGTATTGGCTGCAGTAGTAAATTAAACGCAAAAAAAAGTTGTATTCTATGTTACTTTTGGTTAAAATATAACCAAAAATAACATATAATACATTTTTTTCAACTCTTCTCGTTCTTTTCTTTATGAAACTACCATACTTTTCTTATAATGGCGGAGAATGAGTTATAATTGAAATTGTTGGATATGATTAAAGTACTATGACATGGTTTATTTTAAGCAAATCTTCCAGTATAATCTATGCAGATAAATAAAATAGGAGTGTCTGTTTGTAATATTAAAATAACCGCTTTTTACAAAATGCATATGGATAGTACCATGTAGGTACATATACCGAAATATTTTTTTTTACAATTTTTGTCTGTCTGTTTGTTCCGGCTAATCTCTGAAACGACTGGACCGATTTGGACGGGACTTTCACTGACAGATAGCTGATTTTATTTAAGGAATAACTCAGGCTACTTTTATTTTAGTTTCTTTTTTTTATTTTAAATTCCACGCGGACGAAGTCGCGGGAACAGTAATATAAAGAATTTGTGTTGTTAGTTTTAATACAAAATGTCCTGACCTTAATCATCAAGTCCATAATGAAGGTTCAGTAATTAAATAAATATGTCATGAAAATAAATGTAACTGTTATAGGGCCTCGCAATAGTTTTCGCTGTTGCACTAATGGGCAGGTCCGTCCGGGGAACAACCTAACAGAAGATCGGCGTGACGTGGAAGTGTTATACTTTAGGGGTTTCGTCTGGTGAGTGAGGTGTGGAGCCCAGTTTATTAAAAGGTGGCAACGTATCTGCAACCCTACGGGGGTTAGCCTTGGTCCGCTTGAAAGATTTAAATTTAGCAATGAAATCCTTATAATACTTATTTTAAACATGTGCAAGATATATAATATATATAAACAAAATATACACTATTTTGTTTTTATACATTAGTTTTGCATTATATGTTGTTACATACTTATTTCCATTAAAATTGTTAATTGTTTTCTTGTGGCTTTGTTCACAATTTTAATGTAAACAAAAGCTACAAGATTTGTCACAAGTTTTTATCTTTTGTTTAAATTGTGAACCAGTAAAATGTGGATGTAATTAATTATTACGAGTTCGTTGGCCAAAATAGCTTATCGCGTTACGTCAGGCCAATTTATTTGCGCGTTCCATGAACATTCGTAGTTTAAATGGACCTCATTTATTCTGAACTAGATATATGTAGGATTTATAAGTCGTCGAACACGCTCGAGGCCGGGGCTCTGGGTGCAAATGCGATAGCGTTTTATCGACTTTCACTACAGTTTAAAATTGACGGAGTACTGATTATTTCCTGTGTGACTGGCCCGTGTTGTTGTCTCGTAATGATAATAAGCTTACGAAAAAACAATAGTCTAGTATTTCGTTTTCGTTTTTTGCAGTTTAATTTATACGAATAAAATAAAATGTAAACGATTAATTGGGACATGTTAGGTAACTGTAGAAGAGGAAAACTTGTGAGTATAAATAGTTTGCACTGTATAGCTATATCAAAGACACTGAAGTGATTTAAATTTGAAAGCAGTTATAAATAGAATTGGGAAAGAGTTGAGCCGTAATAGCTCAGTGTCCGGGCGCGCTCGCCTTCAACTCAATAAACTCGAGCAACCTGAGTTCATTCCCCGGTGCCGGCACCGATGAAATTGTTAATTTTAAGTGTTGAATTATCACATGCTCAGTGATGAAGGAAAATATCGTGAGGAAACCATATTTTCGAAACAATAATAAAAAAATATATATATTTCGAAGATATGTGACGCCCGCCAATCCGCTGATACTTTGATACTATAAATAGAATGTATGATATTATATCTAAATATACGAATGGTCAGGACTTTGTGTTGAAGTCATTGCACCATTGTAAATAGGTGAATGCATCATAAAAGTATGTACACATTTAGAAAATGTATCATTGACCAAATATGTTTAATGTTTGAATAATTGTCTTCTTTTCTTTTTCTTGTTCCAACATTAAAGACGGCATGTATTTGTTACTACGATTACTTGACCCACATCTAGCTAAACACAAAACAACAATCGAAAATTATATTTTTTTTGATTAACCGCCTTTTTATCAAGATGAATTAAAAAAAAAACGTGTTACAATCAGCCAGAGGATTTCCTGATTTTTTCATTTCGTGACTGCTTTAATATTATTATAGTAGTTGACATTCTTACGTGCTTATTATTTATTTTTCATATATTAAGAGCAATCACTGAAAAGTACGTACCGGGTTTCGTCCAGAATTGTCATTCATTCATCAAATGGCAAACTTTCTGAGGTCATATTTTGAGATGGCTTGTGCAGAATTCAAAAAAATAGTTTTCATCGTCATCTATATAGGTCATGTTTTGCAAATGTATCAATCCTCCCTGCATGCATCCAGATTAGGTCTCACCCCAATCGGGTTCATAATACTCAATACCAGTAAAAATCTTAAAATTATCGTGTACTACTAAAATGTGACATTGGTGGCGAGTTGTTTAATATACTTTTATATCATTGCCTATAAGCAATCGTACCTGTTTTGAGAGATTTAAAATACGCTTGCATATATTTCATACTACATATATGTTCTTAAAACGTCCGGAAAGCGCTTCTTCACTTTTCTTAGCAAACAACGAAAGAGGCAGCAAATAAGTTTAATACGTGGACAAAGAAAACGGATGCACTTCGAGATTTTTTTACTTTTATGCTAAAGTGAAAAATACGTGCCGTCCCGTTTTTTTTTCTTTTAATTGCACTATCCTCTTTATACCATTACAATATTCGAAATGTGTAAATGGTGCTGTCACTTTGAGAATAGGAACACTTTCGAGCGGTGATTTTGTACTCGTATATATGTAACGTACGTATAACGTAACGTAACATATCTATGGTATAATTATCTTATATCATTTTTTATACGTCAATTGTGTTGTTTTTCACAGGAGAGCGAAATATTGAAATATGTGACGACGAAGGAAGAACTAGAACCGCTGGCGGAAAATTGCACCAAGGTCCTCGTGTGGCACACCCGCACCCAAACTCCGTCGATCCTGAACCCGAAGAAGTTGAAGCACCCGCCATTGCCCGACGGCCATATTGAGGTGTGATTTGGCGCGAAATATTTTTAGGTTATAAAGTGACACGTTTGTAGGGTAATTGTAGACGGATGAACGAAATACCGGTCACGAGTTGACCTATCACAAGTGACCCCACTGTAAATTGTTTATTAAACATAGAGTCATGTTCGTTCAGTAAATAGAACGAATAAAAAAATCGTAAACGTTTATGTTATAGACAAGATATTCATCTTAGTTGGTTAGATAAATTACTCCTTAGGACAGCCATAAGGAATTCAGCCGGCCTTCCATAAACTGTATACAATTTTATATACAGGTTGCATTAGGCCATCCGTGCACCCTGTATATTGATTACGAGTTTGATATTAAAAACTCAAAATATTAATAATAGATAAAGGGTATGTTTTAAGCTTCATTCCTACTAGTTTCATATACCTGTTTAATGCCAAACACTTTTGTATCATTCCTTGATTACTATTGAAATAGTTTCCGTATTGGGCTTAAAGAAACCTTTAATTTTAATGGCAACAATACTCCATTAAATTTATGTACAACGAATCAAACTATGTGATCGGCACACAATGAGATATTCTATTAATCAGTATTATAGCTATTCATTTTTCGTAATGTTTATTATGTTTTGGTCATTTAGTGAATCGTTTTACTAGACAGATAGAATTACATTTTTTTCAACTTAATTTATATAACGCCTTACGTTCACAAACTTGTCAATTTACGATATTTTTACTCATTGAAAAACATTACAATATACATCCTATAAAGTATTTTACCTTTGTGTAATATTAAGATAGTAATTAAGAAAAGGTATTTAGTTTTATTTGTAAATTGTAATTTGCAATATAGTTGTATCATGTCAGGTATTTTACTTACCTTATTTATTGTATAATTACAATTTTATTTCCTTTATACTTTTTTTATATTCATTTAGAAAATGTATAATTTCAACGATGTGTTTAATTTCAAAGCGAATATATATAATGAAATGGTAGTTCAATAAGTATGATGTTATTCAAACTTTATACAAATTTAATATTCTTTTGGTTTTCCTGTATCTAAGTAATTAATTAATACAAAGTACGTAAATTTATTTAAAGAACTTGTTTTATAAAACTTTTATCATTTAGGTACTGTTATAAATGTTCGTTGGCATGAATGCTATTGGGTGTGTTTTTACAACTCCTTTTATACCAAAAGCTCCTGTTAGAAATTTCTATATTCTGAAGGATTTATTTATTCAAAGCTGAGCAAGATCGCTTATGCGTTTTTGTTTTTAGTGTTATGTTTCGTCTGTCGATAAAAGCTTTTTCAATAATGCTCCATCAAAATTATTTCTGTTTTATAGTTTGTGCTTTGGTAAAATTTTCTACATACTATTGTGGAGACATGTTTTAACTTGATTTCATCTGAAACGATTACTGTTAAGATGAACAGTGCCCAGTGAAAAACGTACCATAAGAATTTCAACGATTACTTTGGTGAGATATTTCGGTAGCTAATAATTTTTTTTATTGTTATTCTATAGACATTTTTGTATCAAATTGGCCTTTTAAACAGGTATCTAAAAAAACATGATACGCGATGACTGCTCTGTTATTCTCGAATACAAAAAAGAAAAACCTGATTGTAATGTTATGAAGGAACATTTTGATTTTATGATAACGTGCATTCTCCAATATAGTATTTTAAATCATTATAAGCAATTTAATTCCTGGCAATAATTTAAATTGACTTGTATAGAGCAAAATGAATTCACTAAAGTAACTCTTTTATAGTTTTGAAACAGTCACATCAGTTTATGTATTTATTTACTATCAATTTATTAGCTGCTACTCGCGAAATTGTCCGCATGAATATTTAACAAAAAACATTTATTTAGTTCGCAAATTCCACAAAGATTTTGTTATATATACAAATATTTTAATAGCGAATGCATGCTTGACATAAAATATCAATAAGCAATTTAATATCAACCAGGTTTTTTATATATTATTTTGATGCCAAAGGCAGATAAGATATTTACTCATTTTAGAATTTACCAGTTAATCTCAGAATTTATTTCCGTGATCAACCACGGAATCAGTTTGTTCATAATTTAATGGTTTTTAATTTTTTGCGCGGAACTCTTCTTATATTTTTCTTTGTTATTGATCCTTTTTAATGAAATAATTGTAGTCTAGTCCTTGTATTATCAGCTATATGCCAGTGAGAGTTCCAAGTCGGTCCATGCATTTAGAGATTACCAGAGATTAGCCGGACCATACAAGAATAATGGACAATTTTTTTTATTTGGTTCTTTGGTGTAAGCTTACCGTGTAAACAATGCATTAAGTAAAAAAAAAAAACTTATTTTGATATTACAAATAGATACTTCAATTTTATTTATTTGTGTATATAAATAAAAAAAAATTGTCTGCGTATACTCTCGCATTCCTTGTAAGTTTTTATGGCACATCATATAGAACATACATATTTGCTTTAATACGCAAACAGGTGTGCAATATTTCGCTGCCCTGAGCGCTATTTCGGATCATTTGTTTATTTTGATCATCTTCTGCTTAAAATGGACAAATGAAATGGGTGTTTTTATTATTAAAGAAAATCATGAAATGGGTCTGATATTTTTTTTACAATAGGATGTAATGTTTCCATCATCCAGTACACGGGCCTGAATTATATGATAATTTATTATCCTTATGTATGCAAATTCTTTAAAAACAATTGATTATCCCGCATTGTAACATGTTTCATAATACTGGCCTAACATACTTATGGGTCTGTAGATAATTTATTTACATTCCATTTTTGAAATGATGTACTAAACATTGTTAAAGTCAATTCATATACTTATTACAAAAATCGTTTATTCAGATATTTAATCAGATATTTCTTTTTATTATGTAAATAAAACGCTCGCTAATATTTAATAAAAGTAAAAATGTATAACCAACATAATACTTACACATTTATTTAGAATATAAGTCTCACAGCATAATATTCCTAGATGTATTGCTCAAATATCTCAGTCGGTCTAAAACATATCCCCTAATAGTTTTAGAGATTACTCGTACTTATTGACATGTACATTCTAAGCAATAATTTTAATTTACCGTATTATTATTATTATTTTAATGATTGATTGTCGAAGTCCTTTATAGGGGCTGTGTAGTTTGTAATGAATATGTTATATACCTACATTGATAGGAAATATGCAATCAAATTGTCCATTTATTTACATATTTATGAAATTTCTGACATAATTCGAATTTTCGTATTGAGATATATAAAGAAACAAATTAGTGAATTGTAATGGTGAAATCCACATTACTGTTTTTGTCAAAAACTATGTGTCGAATATTTTTATTGAAGCTAAGTAACATTCACTTTAATATTGCTAAAATTTTGAATCGTCACAATTTGAGCTTTACTCAATTATTTGTAAACAGTTTATTTTTACCGTTAACCTGTGGGTTATCTTTAATTATTTTCAAGTATGATTTTATTTTCAAAGATTCACGGAGTTTGATTTATAATCAGATTATAATTTAAAAACAATTATTCTCTATTGTTCTCCAAAATGTACTCTAAAATAGACTATCACATACTTATATTCAATTAATCTCAAAATTTTGTTTTTATTACTATATATTATGTATAACTTTGTAATATTAATTGAACTGTAAAAATTAAGTTCAATATATTTTCAGTCAAAGATTCTTTTATTTACAAAGATGGTGTTTATTAGTTTTTTTTAACGCATCTATCGGATAAAGTCTAAATCTTAAGAATTTTATTTCAGGCCTTTGATGTTCCTTAAATGAACTGCCAACCTATCAGCGTTCTTGTTATTTATCCTTATAATTGATGAACTGATTTAAAATATACAATTTAAACAATATTCATTAATTCGTCTTAGTAAACGTGACAACAAAACTTAGGTGCAATATTGTATGATATTTGTAATTTTGTATATTTCGTATCGGCCATATTTATTTGTTCGTAAACAAAAAATACCATGGTACCATTTTATAAAACATTACAGATAACTCTAAATTATCGGTAGTTTTATTTCACCCATTGCAATTTTGTGTTCACACACTTATTACAAATTTAATCATATCATCTTAGAACTAGTTGTCAAGTTTTTCTATAATTGTATAAAGTTTGGTATTTTTTGACATAATTATGTCGGAGAAACACAAAAATGCTTAATTGTGTTCATTTGGGAAGTTCGTCCTTAAAGAAACTTAAAGTACTTAAGTTCAGAAACCACCTAAACTACATAAAAACCGTAATTAAATGGAATTATCTCATGGGTTTATCGGTGTTTATTTCTTTTTTTATGTGAAAAGTTGTCAAAGGTTCACCTGACGTTAAGTGATACGTTAACTATTACATATATAGCACCTGTGTGCTTGCAGATGCGCTGACAACCATTAAAAAATGATCTTTGTCTACCACACTTACCAGACGCAACCCGTAAGTATAAAACTTCCACTTCCCGTCTTCTGTGAGGACATGGTAATTCTCAGGACGAGCGTCCCCATTCGTACAACAGCTGAAGTTGTTGCGAGGAGTCAATAGGATATATAAAATAGTCATTTTTAAAGTTATGTAATTTGTCTGGTGTATTTTATTTATTAACGACCTGTGCAAATGTGAGGGAAGTCGATGGATGCAGGTGACTCAGGATCGTACTTCGTGGCCAGTCTATGAGGGAGGCCTATCTAGTCTAGGGCTAGCAAGCAGGGTACTCAAACAGGCAGAACTGATGATGATTTTATTTACGAGGTATCATCATCATCACCACCATTCTGTAGTATTCAGTGGGTATAGTTTTAAGAAAGTTCGGAATTAATATATTGTTCGCTTTTAAAATTTCAATACATTTATTACCTATCGTCCGGTCGAGTTCTGCCTTATGTTTATTGGAAAATAATTGACAAATATATGTTTAACAGTAACCTTTTATAAACCCAGAAGGAATCCTTGGTTTTCACATCGTTTAT